TTATATGTGTTCTGAAAAAGGTGATTCCAGGCCAGCTTATGGCTTTTTTCAGCTGTCTAGAAATGAATATGGGTTGCTGTGCATGGGCGCTGGCAGTGGGTTCTGCAGAGGAGCCTCCGTGAGGAGTGGCCAGGCTGATTCCAGTTGGACACAGCCCATTCCAGATGGCTCCAGCGGCCCCACCACAGGGCATGGCTGAGCCCAGAAGCCAAGATAGCAACATCTTGGGGAAAAAGGTGTCCCTTCCAACAAAAAACATTTTGTGATTCTAATGCTAGGGACCAACTATGCAATATGAACGTAATATCACTCATGAATTATAGTAGTTTCAGATAAGCTGAAGTGTGAATTGTGGAGTCTTGTGCATCACATTTGGCCACAACAACTCCCATGCATCAGGTGAAAGAAATAGTGCTGAGTATCCTAGCCACATGGGGAATGAATTTTGAAGGCCATTTGTGACCATCTCTATATCTAAGTTGTCTTCAGACTACAATACAGAGGAGCTGACCACAAATGAGTTACTAGAAAACTGCTAGAAACAAAGCTAACCACACAGCTCTCTAAAGAACATTTTATTTTGCTTTCAGTCAACTTTATATAGTCTCAGAGTCAAATTGTGTACTTACATTACTTACATAAACTTATCTACATTTGTTTCAAATTCTCTTTCTTATTCAATACAGATATTAATGTTTGTGGAATACATGAAGCTTAGGATGCTTCTTAGGTGACATGAGGGCCTTCTTACATCTAAATGCATATACATTTTTGAGAAAATTTCAGATAGAACTGCATAAAAATATTTCTAAGGCATAGAGGACCCTCCAGCATTTTCATGTATTCACTGCACTCCCATGAGAAGCAGGACTTTAAAACACCCATGGGAGAATGTAACACAGCTGTGACTCTTCTGTACAGAGGTAGGCACCAAGTACAGTTGGCCTGCTAGTAAAATCCCAGTTCATGAGTTAAAATCACTTGAGCAGGTATTGCCTATGAGGCCCTCTGCCAAGCCAAACAACAGCATCTGAAAGCTGTTATTTACATTCTGTGTGGGAAAGAAAGAGGATCACACAGAGGGAGGTTCCAACAAGAATGGGAAAGGAATAAAATGGATTTTCAAATGATGAGTTGAAAAGTTGGAAAGGGAGAATGCCACATAAATAGTTAAACATTTGTAATTACGCTTGTGACAGTAAGGATGTTGTTAGACTTGACTTGATTTCTTACCTAATGTATTTAACACAGTATAAAATTACACAAGGATTAAGGGAAATTCAATAGAATGGACAAAGCAAGCAACTACAGCAAGGATCATCACAGGTATTGTAAAAGCAATTACATGAGCTAAGTCAGGGATGTTCAGAGGATCTGGAAGGAAAGGGGAGTTTTCAGGATCAGGAAGGTAACAGCTTCCTGGTGTCTTCCATGTCCTGAGCTGTGACAGCTCTTCAACTTTTGCAGAGCAGAATAAAAGCAATTCTAAGTGTCCAGCCCAAAGCCATGACTCCACCCAGAGCTAACAGGTTTTTTGAGATTCTGGATTCAGGGACATCTAACAAGGCTGGGAATGAGGAAAGCAGTTAAATGTCAGAGGATAAAGGAATTGAGGCAGAAAGAGACAGATGTTTCTCTGGCACATGGCTAAACTGTCTGGTGGGAGACTTTGGCAAAAGCTCGTGGTCTGCATGTTCTTATTGCTGCTGAGAGGAACTGGGCTTTGTGTATAATTATGTAAATAAACAAATGATCTCAAGACTTTCAAACTTTGAAACCATTTTTCATCCAGACACACCCTCTTTCCTGCAAAGCCTCAGTGTTCAGTTTGCCATGAAACCAAAAGGGCAACGAGGCTATCATCCCCCACTTTGCACAGCAAAGTAGCCCAGCAACAAGCAATGCAAAACTGAACTACACATTTCCCCATCCATTAATCTTCAGTCTTGCTTCTCCCTTTTAACAGTGATGAGCCACAGGGAAAACAAAGAGCTGTTCTTGTCAGATTTTGGGCTAACACATTCCTATTTTAATCTTAAGAAAAGTTGATTGGAATTAACAAGGTTCATGTTTTCAGATGATTTGGGAAATGCTTTAAATGACATCTCTTGATATATTTTTTTTCAGTTTCAGGACACAGCACGGAAAAATGCAAAATGAATACAACAATAGTTGACTTACTATTTTGAACCGAAAGATAGGATTCATTAGTAACCTGAAAGAAGCTCAGGACCTCTCTGACCTTGTTGGTGTCATTTTGCTTTACTCATACTAGAAAGAGTGGGAAATTCAAGCAGATTTAAAGCCTTCTAAATTCTGCAAAAAGCTGTCTTGAAGAGAAGATTTTCATAGGCAAACACATTTTCTTGATTTACTTTCCATCCTACAGTGTTCTAAGGCTGGGGTTAATAGCAGCAAAATAGAGTGACTTGCAATAGAAATACTTAATGGTCCTGTAGCATATGTGATAACTACACAGCAGGGGCGCAGAGGAGCTGGCTGACAAAAATTGCAGTGCTCTGCTAGGTTAATCTAATTAGAGCTCTTCCTTGCATCTTCGATTGACAGTTTGGAAACCTGTAAACTTCTCTAAACATAGACAGCCTTCCATTTGCTGCAGTTCAAGAGAGGACCCTCTTCTTGCACTCTTCCCTTGAACTGTTTCCATGGAATGCTGTCCATATTCAGAAAAATGTACAGGTTGCCAAACTGTCAACTAAAGCTGTAATGAATGGCTCTAATTACATTCAAGTAGCAGAGAGCATTGCCATTTTAATCAAATCTGAGCCTTGTGAGATATTTGGCACAAATACAAGAGAAAGCCTGAGGAAAACACTGCCAAAATGTTAGCAACCTTTTATTCTAAATTCTGTTGGTTGGAGAACTGAATACCAACTGCTTTGCAAAGGTTTATGTTTTATGGGGTTTTTTTTATTGTAGCCTATATGGTCTCTTCATGAATTATTATCCTGCTCTCTAACAACAATGCAAAACAAAACAAAAACCACAGCCCCACAATTTCAAGACTAAAAATTATGATCAGCAATTTCACTAATCAGTCAGCTACAGTCACGTTGCCAATCGCAGAGGCAAGGGGGACCTAATAACATCCTTTCACTCAGAGAGTTTCTGCCAGTGCTCAGCTTCGTGTTGTGTACAGCAAGAGACATACAAACAAACTGCTTTGTCAAATATCCTGTCAGATGCTGCCCCAGCTCCTTTCCAAATGGCACCACTTTATGTTCTGCAGTCCTTTTTTACCCTAATAGTGTGAAAGGGTTATCCTTACCAGACTTCGGTGATCTTGATATTCTGTCCCTTACTACAAATCACAAATTTGGAACCAACTCCAGAGTTACAGCTTTTTATTTATTGATATATTTGTCACACCTTCAGGACCTCACAGTGATTCAAATGTAAAGCATCAAAAACAGTGAGTGCCTGAAAAGAAAAAGATAAGGAGTTTTTCAATCATTCTTTAATGGGCTAGAAGAGCAAAATTTCTAGAATTTTACAAAATCTGCTCTGAAGGGTAAATGAAGGCAACAAAGGAATTCCTTCTTCTTCTTCTTCTTCTTCTTCTTCTTCTTCTTCTTCTTCTTCTTCTTCCAGAGGAATTAATTTGGTTCCAGAGGAATTTCCATTACATTCTAGTTCCCTCTCATGAAGGCATCTCCACCTAGAGCTTATAGGTTAAACTATAAAAGAGGAAGGATCAGTAAGTCTCAATCCACCACCATTCCTCATTTCAGAAGATGGCTTTCATTTATTTCACAAGGCATTTTGCTAGACTTGTCCCGCCAGTTGTCTCACAGAAGTCCTGCTGCTTCACGTTGCAGCAGATATCCAAATGCCAAATACATCTCACTGCTTATTGTGGCATTTTTGGAGTGCTCCTGCTCCAGCTCCCCTCCCAGCAAAAAAGATCCTCAGAAGAAGTCTTCTTCTAGGTTCCAAGTTTCCTTATTCTTATTTTTTTATTTGCATCATCTATGTTCACTCAGTATGGTCTTAAAATGGGCAAAATCTAAAAGAAGGGCAATCCAGGCCCTTTGCAACCTTCTATCTAATAACTCATTTTGAAGCAGCCTTCAATACATCACTACTCATCTTCCTGAGTAGTGACAGGGGCTGGAGAGAAGTTATAGACAGCCTTACCTCTCTCAGTGAGGGAGCTTAGCAGCCCTCAGGAAACAGCCTGTTGATTTCTAGACCGAATCTCTACTGCACTTGGAGCTGAATGATGAGAGGAGCAGACTAAATTAATGGGCTTTCTTTGCTTTTTGGTGAGTTTCTTTCTAAAGAAGCATTCTCTACTTATCTTGAAGCTTTTTTTTTTTTCCGTGTGGTAAGAACTTTTGTGTCTTTTCGCATAAAGATAATTTTACTGTTATCTTTATCTGGAAACTGCATGTTTTGAAGCTGCTAGTGAATTACTTTTCTGGTATACTCATGATCAGCATGGGATATATCATTGGCAATTTCACTGTTGATGCAACAGAAATATCATATTGGCTAATATAAGGAGAAAGAGGCTTTTTTTTTTTTTTAATGCTGGTTGTGTTCTCTGTTCTTTAAATATATTCATTAAGTGCATGCATAGGTCTTTCTGGCTTCAGCTAATAACAGATGTTTTAAACATGATGTAGAAGTTCCACACAGAAGGATATTTCTCTCCTATCAACTTCAGTTTGAAGCATGAAATATAATTATCCTTATATCATTATCTTAGCCTGCATAGTTCAAAGAAATAAGACACAATCTGGAAGTGTTTCTGTGCCAAAAAATGTGCTAGCCTTTTCTTCTAAAATCTGAGTAGCAGTTAGGAGGGAGAAGCGAGAATCCTTCTTTCTGGGTAATGAAAATGGGAGTGTTTTCTTTACTTTATGTTCTAGCACAAAGCCCAGTGTCACAATCACCCTTCCTTCACAGCTAAAGCCTGGGACGAGAGAACTCAAACTGTATGGAAGACATCTAAGTCAAAATAATTTGTTTTTCAGGCATGCTGAGTGCTTTCTGCAATTCATGCACCATCAATGCCTAAGGAGAGCACAACCTTGGATAACCAGAACCAACTGGTTTTGAACCAAGTTTCCTGGGGGAAGGAATGTGCCCTGTTCTCTTCTGTATGTCCTGATACATGTGTTCCATATTACTCCAATGGAAGGTAACAATGGCAGCAGTATGAGGAGTAAAACAGGTCAGAAGTTGGAGCACCAAATAAAATAACAGCTATTTTATACAAGTCTTCGCATTCTCTAAGTTTTCTCTAAAACCTTTCTAAATCAAGGTGGAATCAGCTGTTTCATGTATTAGGAACACCATTTGCCTGATGGTTGAAAGGTACAATGTGGACATTTACACAGGAGTTGATCACTGTAAATTGTTCTTGGAGTCAATGGTCATCTAGTCAGTCTAACTAACACAAACAGTGGAGATACTGTTCTTCACCTTAAGCAGATTTTTCATATGGATCTTAAAAGTGGATCCCATGCTAATAGTTCTCATTGTTTTCCACTGCCAGCATGGATTACTAAGTCAGCTGTAGTGGGGTGAGAGTAGGAATTGGATTAATAATTCTTTCTCCAGTTATGAAAAATTTCTGCAAGACCTCTTAGCAAGATGAACAGCTCCTTATAGAGCAGAATAATAGAATAATTTAGTTTGAAAATGACCCTTGAGTCCAACCATAACGCTGACAAATCCACCACTAAACCATGTCCCTCAGTGCCACGTATACAAATCCTCTCAATACCTCCAGGGATTATGACTGTGCAACTTCTCTGGCAGCTTGTTCCAATGCTTGACAACCCTTTCAGTGAAGAATTTTTTTTCCTAACATCCAAAATATACTTCCCCTGGCACAACTTGAGGCTATGTCCTCTTGTTCTGTTGCTTGTCACTTGGGAGAAGAGACTAGAGAAAGTAACAGAATGGACAAGAAGAAGCCAGAAGCTTCTCTGTTAGAGAATAATTCAAATATCCAGATCATTCAGGCAGCTGTTTTCCCATAGTTTTACTGCTGGAATGTCCAAGCTGGTATATCTTAAAGGCTATCGAAATTCTGCTGATACCAGCCCTCTTCATTACACAGTGTATGCAAATCCTATGACAGTTCCATTTAGGACTGATGTCCAATGCCTGGACAAGATGATGATGATGAGTCCATGGTGATGCAACCGAGTCCCAGAGAATTGCTGTGGAAATTTAGGGACCCTAAGTGGCAAGGACTGGTAATAAATCAGTGTTTGTCATTATCCTTTCCAGAAGTCATTGCAAATGACTACTCCCAGTGTCAAAAGCCAGGAAGCCATGAATGCTGCTCTGCCTGAGGTATTTTTTAAATTGAAGGTGAAGGTGGAGCATGGGCAAGTGTTCCACCATTCTCAGCTCAGTGATAGAGTTTTTGTTTGCTTTGTTTTGTTTCACTGTGTTTGTAGGTAACATTTGTAGACAATACAGACTGTTGTTCCAGATTTTCCAATATATTTGAGCTCTCAAGGATAGATAAAAGCAGAGACGACACTCACTGCAAAGTGTCTCAGATATGTATTTATATATTTGGAACCTTAACAGAACTAATTATGATACCTAGCAGAAGCAGCAGGACTCAGGTGGAGCAAGTTGCTCAGATCCGGCAGCAGGGCATGTGTGACTCAGCTGTCAACAGATGACACTCAGTTTCATGTAGAACTTAGCACCACATTGCTGCCCACTGCTTTACAAAGAGCATGGGTCATCATTATGCTTAGAATTCCAGGGGAGCAGACTGGAGTTCCCACCAGATTTCAAGCAGCAGATTTTACTTGAGTGTTTCAAGAGTTACAATTTACTGTAATGTGGAGAATAAGCACAGCTTCCTCGATAAACCACAAGACTTGATAAGTTTGCTGAAGCATCTTCTTTTATTTTTCTCGTAATATAACACACTGAATGATTATGAAAACAAAGTTATGGAATAGTAACAGATTACATAATATGGGGTCTTAATGTATATTTTTTGTTGGTACACAAAAGAACACAAATCTCTTGGTTAAAATTAAAATTTTCAGTTAAACCACTCACATGATGGAAAGAACCCAATGATCACCAGTCAACCATGTTATCCAGAAAACTAAATGCATAAAGTTGTGGCACTTTTATCTTACTGCTGAAGTGAAAGTAATGGCAAAGAAAACAGCTATAGGCATAACCAGTTTTATTGTATTGGAGGCTAACTAAGCAATTAGGACAAATGACTTCATGCTGCAACACTGAACACAGAAGTTGTAGACAAGACTGACTGTGATGGTGATGAAAGTTGTGTGTTTTCACATGTCCTCATGCACACACACACACACTTTCCCTCTCTGATGGGCCGTGTTGTTTGCCCTAAGATAAGAATGCAAGGTGAGTATTTCAGGATGAACTATCTGGACAGATCCCCACCTCTGGCAGGGACATCTGCAGGATCTGTCCAACTTGAAAATGGGGAACACTCACTTTTGGACTGGTGAGTAAAAAGGACTAAGGTCTGGTTGAATGGGGAGATAAAGTCCTAGAGAAGCTACATAGATGCTTTGTTGTTTTGTAACGGCAAACCTGCAAGGCCAAAAATGTCAAACCTGTATGTTTCTAGCTGGATCTTCTTATAATCCTTTAGACATAAGGTGTTGATCAAAACTGAGACTAAATGGCTCTAACTACACCTAGGCATCTCTGTGAAATTTAGAAAGCAAGGGGGTCTCAGTGAAGCTTGTGATAAAACAACCTACTAAAATCCTTTCTAGTACTTGATAGAGCTGTTATTTAAATACAGCATTGGCAGTATTTAGATATGGTAGTAGCAAAAAATCTAATCATAGTCATCCACAAAATCACTGTGTCCCACTTCTCAAGCCTGGCCAAAGGCCTTCTCTTGACTATTCTGCCACAGTGACAAAATCTTTTACATAAAGATTCTTCTGTGTTAAAAACTGACATTTCTGGAGATCTTTAAAGTTCTGATTGAAGATCTACTTTTACAAAATTATGGGCCAGCCAGTCTAAGATGCCTACAGAAAAAACCAGCAAAGAATCTTGAAGACTGATACATGGAAACAATTCTGAGCCAATAGGATTTGGACTATAGCTAGAACTGCAAATGTTCTGCTCTGATTGCATTAAGATGTCCCTTGAAGTCTGGTCTTCTCTGGAATTTTATTGCCATATCTTAACATATATTAACACATCTCACATAAATCAAAATAAAAGTCATTGCTTTTACATGAAGATTTATGGTCTCTAAGTCCTGGGAACCAGAACTGCAAGCAACAGTGAGCAATTGAAAAAGTTTAAATGTTACAAAGGATATTATTTTTTACTGATTGCATGATAACCAGAGATTCACTCATAGACATTCAAAGCCTTTTCAGAAGTATTTGTTCCATTTTTACTGGCCCACACAACTCATCAGAAACTCTACAAAATGGGCTTTTTATTGTTTGCCCCATCACTTCCTGAAGCTGAAAGATCCCCAGGAAGGAGACAAAGTGACTGCTGCATGCACTGGCAGACCTTAGCCTTAAATAAGACCTTCATCATATGAATCAATGATCTGATGCTGAGGCCAGTCAACTGATTAAATCAGTAATTCCTCCTTGAAGAAACCGAGGAAGATCACTTTCAACAGCCTGAGCTGTTTCTCTTATCAAAGCCACTCTTCTGAAAGGCACCACACACAATTCATTGGCTGCTGCAGGGAAGGCTCCAATCTCACAGGCCCTCCTTTGCTCCCCTTTGCTTTGGTTCTTACTGAATCCTGTGTTTTACCATCGTGGCTACCATGTGAAGTGATGGCCTGATCTGAGCATTGTCCCTGGTGATAGCACTTTGAACACAAGCAATCTGGATGGACCTTCTATTTGACTTAGTCCAGACACAGAAAGCACAAGGCTGAGCTAAAGGACAGGACATTTAGGCCATGCAACCAGCAAAAACCAGGGAGGCTTGGGCATATTTGGGGAGGGCTTCTTGATTTACCAAAGTGATACCAAAGAAAACTCTGTCTGCAAAGTAGTCCTGTTGCCACAGTCACTATTGGTGCTGAAACTCTCGTAATCAATCTCAGAGCAGGAACTTCTGGGTATATAAACAACAAAAACATGCGTAGCTTGAGTCTTCTGTGGCTTTCAACAAAGGCACTGCCACTATCATCACACATTATTTCACGTTGATGAAAAGCTTAGGAGAAGAATTGGACCCAAAATCAGAGGTTGTGATAAATACATCAAAGTTTTTTGGGCACTGAATCTTTTAGTAAATACTACTAAGCAAATATACCGCTCTTAGCAAATCAGAGTTAGAGAACAAAGCAAAAGTTTGTAGTTGGAAAAGACACTTGGTGGTACCATGGAAGAAGCGTAAATAGTGTCAAATGGCACACTCTCCATGGATGGGGCTCCACGCATTTATGGTAGAAGAGGACTGGGCCCAGCATCTTGGTCTATGTTCAACTAAAGCTTCCTCCCACAAACTTTCAGCATCCCAGTTCTGCTGGTTCAAGAAACATGATACTCCCCAACATGAAGCATTCATTGAAGGTAGAAAGAGGGACAGGAAACTTGTCTTTTCTTTCATTTGTTTCACCCAGTTGCATGATTTGGTACTTTGCCCTGGAAAGACACATTTTATGAAAGAATTTTACAGAGGGTCCTGCTGCTTAGAAGATCCTGCAATTCATTTTACTAGCAGCAAAAATGGGTGACCAGCTCAATTTCCTACATGAAGCCTGCAGTAGACAGGTTCTCAGGGACCAAGACAGATGAAAAGAACTGTCATACTAAACATATTCTTTGCTTGATTGTAAAATGGACAAATAAAAGTGAACTGGGGCGGGGGGCGGGGGGAGAAACAGTTTTGATAAATACTGTGCTCAAATTGGCAGCTTTCAGAGAGAAAGATTATAATTCTGCTTCACAAAATTCTGACTGATGTGATGATTTGTAGCTCCCATGACATATCAAGAGGCAGTTTAGGCATTTGTAGATTTATACTCCTTTAGTCAGTCACAAATCACAAAGGAGTCTTCATACATTAAAGAAAACATTAAAGCAAGGGAGTGGAGTCACTGTAGCACAGTTATGGAATCAGAATCATGCCAAAGCGTGTTTTACTTTAATAGAATTTTCAAATTTGTCTTTAGTGATAGTCTGATAAACAAGTGTGAAACACATGCGTACACAACACCTAATTTGACACAACAGGAGCAGACAACTAGGGGCCTGT